ATATTTCAAACCTCTACACGAAAAATACAGCAGTATCTAGATTTTAAAATCGAAATTGCCAGGTACCTTTTGAAAAATGAATCCAACATTTTCCAAGAAAATATACGAGGTATAGGAACTCGAAGAAATCCTGAGGGTAATATCATTGTTGATTCACCATCAGCAGGCACCGAAAGAAAGCGGAAAGAACATTACCCAGAAATTGCCTCAGATTTAAGAAATTCGGTTCGATGTAAAAATGACAGTTGTACTAAAAAAACGAAGTTTTTTTGTAATAGATGTAACACATTCTTATGCATAACTGGCTACAGAAACTGCTTTATAGAGTTCCATAACAGATAAATTTAAGTTTACGTTTATTTTCTATGTTCTTATAAGTTTAAGTTTTAATTGTAAATGTATTTTTAACCATCTAAATAACTTATACATTTGGCATTTTTGTATAGGTTAAGACCCAATGTCCATTTTAATGGACGTCATGTATCTTTCAAAATAAGAAAAAAAATAAAAAATGTTCTCAGTAAAGAATGTTTGTTAATGTATTTTCTGTTATATTTAAAAACGTCACAACTCTAACTTATGAAAAACATGTCTGGGTCTCAGGAGGATATGACATGCACATCAAGAAAAAAACCATGTGACTAATTTCTGTCAGTTTGTCGCATATTATAAGTACCTATAACTTGAGAGGCGCCACTCGGATTTCGGAGTTTTACACAATGTTACTGCTATGCCAAGGATACCAAAGCTTTGTAGTTGTTCTGTGTGCATCTGTTGGGAATTGATATCTTGTTAATGAAACTCGGGGATGGGTTACAATAGCTCATTTTAAATAATGTTTTATCCAAAATAAGTACATTTTACTTCGATTTTATTATTTAAATTGTTAATCAATGTATATGTAAAGTTAGTGTTTTTTTTGTAGAGCTCTGAAGAAGGAAATAAATTATTGCGAAACGTCGCCAACTTTACAACAGGAAACTGTGTTTCTCTAGACCCCATATCCAATTAATTACAAGAAATGGATATATAGATCGCCCATGGGTAACAAGTCATTAGAACTCCTGTAAGGCTTTCAAGGTCATAGGAATTCTTCTGAATGGGTAACCGTAATTTTCAGGACGTTTTGAAGTGTAGCATTTATACACCATCGCGACAGTCCTCGATGGATGGCGCACTATGCGTCACGTCACGTCATCTAAAATAGCATTAAATTATGAAAAATTCATTATGTTCAATGTAGTTCTTATGCATCTTTTAACGAAAAAAGCTAATAGCTACTTACGTGATAAATCAAATTAACAGCAGTAGTAGTAGTAGGTAACGTAGGTCAGGTAGCAGGTACCATTATCACAGTTTTCCTTCCCGGACATTGCACTAAAATATTTATACTATAACAATTTGAGATGTAGTATTATACTAACTGAATTTTCAGTAGTCTCAATTTTATGTTAACAATTGCAAAGCTATCATGAAACTTATGATTAAGTAGGAACTTCATGTGTCGTTATTCACATCGTGGTGCGTTTCGATCTGACGCATTTTAAATGGCTATCAAATTGCTAATATTCAAGCTAGGAGCGGCAAATGAATTTTAAAGCTGAGGGTGGCAATAGAAATTTAATTTCAGAAAGCTACACGCTACGTAAGAGAAAAAACTTCTTTCAGTAGTCGGCTTGTTTAGCGGTGCATATACGGAGTCGGTTTTCGTAGTTTCGTATTGCAGAAATTTCGTTCTTTATTGGTGTCTGTATGGTAGGGAGATTATTTCAGTAAATCCTTGCAAAAAAACAACACCGGCACACAAAAATTAAAAGCGGTTTGTACATTTGACTAGAGACTAGAGACTTATGTATTTTGAAGCGCTCGAAGTTTAGAATGAACTGTCAAAAACCGCTAAAAATGGATAAAAATCCCAAAAAATTGCACTTACGCGAAGGAAAAAAAATTCTCGTGCCGGATAAAATTAATTTCTTATCTGTTTTGACACTCTAAACAAAAATTTGATGTTTTTTGAGCTTGTAGACCTTCCATATTTTAGATCAAGTATATTTTAACTCTGCCAACGGAACAACGACATCTTTCTTACGCTTGACTACTTTCCTTAAAATCTTGGAAGCTACAGAAGAATAAGGGAAACGATTTAACCGAGTCATAAGTGAAATGGAAAATCGGTATTAAGGAAGATCGAATGTCAATATGACGGCAGATTTTTGCTTGCATGTTTGGCATCTTTCACAATTTTTTAGCGATTTGAAGCGATTTTCCGCGATTTACTCTTGGTAACGAGCTACACAAACTTGAGATTTGAACTCAGCGCATCGAAAAAGATAAAACATACTTTGATCTGGTCCATAACAGCAATTTTTGCGATTTTTAACGATTTCTGGCGTATTTTGTATTTTTTTGCAATTTACTTGAAATTTAGAAGTTCTACGAGCTAAAATAAGATTTGTGTTTACCACATTGAAATACATCAGAAATACAATTCTGGGCCGAGGAAATTTTTTTCGTTTGTACAAGTATTATTTACCCATTATAGCGGTTTTTTACAATTTATTCAACATTGACAGTGTATGGGTGAAACAGATTTAGCGCATCGAAATACATAACTTTAGTTGGATCTAGTCAAGTGTACCTCTTTTTTGTCTCATGTGTCAGTGTAGTCATATATTGCGAGGTCTGGAGGGAAGAGTCCAAGAGTCATTTCCATTACGCAAACTCACAGAAAAAAGTGGGCTCTTACGATCTCCATAGATGTCCTGTGAATTCACTATGAAGAATTTCTGATTTCACAACTCGAACACGTCACAAACTCAAGATGATTCCAACAGGATGGAGGTTCTGCACATACAGCCAGGGTATTCAAGCAGATCGTAAGCGCTCTGCTTCCTGGATATGTGATTTCGTGCAATCCCCGGTTGATATATTTCACGGTACATCATTATTTTTTGAGAAAGGCTTACAGAAATAAGCTATGTGCCATTCAAGACCGCAACTCCAGTTGACCTGCTGGAGCAAGTAATGTAAAACGGACTCCTACCCGTTGACTTACACCCAAAAGCAGTTGTCTTGTAACTTTTTTGAAAATAAATTTCCATTACCACATCCAACTTTGAACAACGCAATTTCCTTATGGACATCGGACTTTCGTTAAATTGGCAGAATTTCTGATACGAGTATGTCGTTTTTATCATATCTCACCGTCCAAACAAATGTCTTGATGGGCACAACCTCATAAACCCTGAACGTTGTAAGATAAAATGGTTGCAGTTAGCGATTATCAATTACATGACACATTCACCATTTTTTGAACTCAAGTACACCTCGCGTCGACCAGAGATCATGGGGAACTCGAAAAAGATACAAAAAGGAGGTTTAGAAGCAACTTTACATCAATTATCATACAAAACGTCCAAAATAACCTATTATCTGACATTTGAATATTTCCGCGATGATGATGAATGATCATTCACGAGACGACGAAGATTTTACAAAATGCAAAGACATTTGTGACAGAAGCAGATGTCAAACCATATGCTGTATTTGGACGTTGACATGCACTTTCCATAGTAACAGCCATATTGCCAAGCAGGGTATTTTTGCACATGTAAGGGTGATGCTAGAACTTTAGGTTGCTCTGCACATGTCACAAGTATCCTCCGGTTTCTTGGATGGACTCAACATCAAAAGGATATAAAATATCCAAGTCGAACACCACTTAATTACATTGAAGATGTTGTGAATAGAAACGCTGATAATATCGAGCTAGAAATAGATAAATTAATAGTTCATATAGAATAACAAAATATTTTTGAAGAAAATTATAGAAATTATCTGTTAACCTCGCAGTTTATACCAGAAGCGATAACGTCATATACACATTTATATTTGATGCTATATCACAAGCCTACGTTAAAGGTTATTATGTGGTATTGACATGCTTTTACTTTTGGCCATGTATTTCAATTTGATTGACCGCAATGACAGCAGATTCATAGTTAATTTTAAAACTTTATGCCTACCTTGGCTTTTGTTTTGTCAAAAATTTACTTACAGATTATACGATGAAACTTCAATAGTACAACTGATGGGTTGGAATTTTTTCACCACCAACTATATATCCTCAAATATTCGATCTCATGATCCATTCCAACTTATTTTACAAATTCGTTAATATATCTAGTTACCTTGCTACCAGCATAGGGTTAGACATATTTGAGAAATGTCTTGGCATATAAGTGGCTGATAAAATTTATCATGATCGCTTGCCAGGTATCAGATTATTTTGAATGGTTTGTGACATAAAAATTGATGTAAAGCTTTTTCTGGACCTCGCTTTTGTATCTCAAAAATGGTGAATGTGCTATATACTTTACAATCTAAGATAATCGAACTTCACCAATTTTTATCTTACAATCCTTACTGTTTAAGAGGTTGTACCCATAAAGACATTTGCTTAGGATGATGAAATATATGCAACATACCAGATTATCAACCAATTTAAGGCAGGATTTCCATAAGGAAACAGGGTGGTTCTAGCTTGGATATTAGCAACTTTACAGCAATTAAGAATACGTCGGATTCGGAGGAGTCACCCTGTATTTGCTTAAATGGTCACCTACCAAAACTTTTAGTTGCGATACCAGATTTTGTGCTAGTTTCACAAATAGCTTTACAACATTATTGTGCATTTTGGATGAGTTCCTTTCTATATTTCTAGGATGAAGTGTCAGATCAATAATCTAATGTATTGCAGTCATATTTTTTTGCTATTTTACTAGATAAGTAATATTATAGAATAAGCTTTATCAAGCAGAGGATGATCAAAATATAAACCTCTGAAATTTTAAGCTGTATTATAGGAGCGACGAAACATCTTGATATATCTGATGCCAGCAGTATTTTTGGAGACGAGAGATTAAAGTATTGTTTTTCTTTGTGTTCGGTCGGCGTTGGCGAAATAGAAGGACGGGGCCTTGATTGAGTACTTTTTAAAGGGCCAGGAGATACCGATTTACATTTGGTACGAAAGTTACCCCACACACAGCGCCGAAGGGTACGAAGGACGAGTGTCGAGAGTCTCGCCCGATTCACCCTATGGAGCTGCTTCCCTTAACCTCACCAACATTAGAGAATCCGACCAAGGATGGTAAGTACTTACTACGTACTACAATATTGAATACTTTATTTATTGCTAAATACACAGTACATGTTTGCATGAGTCAAAAAAAGACAATGACATTTATCAGCAGTGAAATAAAAAAAGCTACAATAAACATGCACTATACAGGGTGTCCGCAAAGTTGGGGTTTTCCTTTTCAGAAACAACTACCCTTGAAATAACAAGTAAAAAAAATAAAGGAAAAAGTACTCACTCTCCAGTTGACGAGAAGGGCTAAGTACATCTCTGCCCGAAATCATTCCGCTCCAACAGAAAATGAAATTAGCTGATGCGCTACCGAGCAGACGCAAAAACCACATTGATTGTCTTACACTTAATGGCACATCTTCTAACAAGGAAGGCAAAATGTTGCGTAAAAAGTCTAGGTATTGCATCCCGTCCAATCGATTTGGGAGAATAAATGGTCCAAATGCATACCGTTCACCATGCCAGCCCAAACATTAACCGAAAATGTTTGTTGAAAATGTGCCCGACGGACAGCGTGCGGATTTTCTACTGACCAAACATTAGTGTTGCGAAAGTTATTCACCCCACTACGCGTGAACGTAGATTCGTCTGTCACCAATATGCACTTCAAAAAGTCCGGATTATTGTCATGTTGATGCAACAACCACTCACAAAACCGCACTATTGCTGGAAAATTGTCAGGTTGAAGGGCTTGTACACGTTGGACGTGAATCGGATACAGCCCCTCTTCACGCAGCGTTTGCAACACTTTAGTTTTTGATATTTGCACTTCTCTAGCAACGTCTCTAGTGCTTGTTGAGGGATTCTCGTCTACGCGATTACCTCTACACGCGTGACCGTAACCGTCGGTTGAAGGTTGCATACTGACCTGAAACACTGACCCCGACCCAGTTCTGTCGTCGGGTTGAGCCAGTAACCTTGTACCAATCGGTGATGTCGCGGGTCGCGGCTACAGGACGGTATTCAGATATTTTTGATGTTGCAGAGCCCTTTATCTCGGTTCCCTTAAGACATTGGTGTATATGGTACTAAGAAAAATTGCTTATATTTTCAAGATCTACACGTCGTGTAAAGGAAAACCCCAACTTTGCGGACACCCTGTATTAATAAACAACCAAAAACATTTGAAAAGGCACAAAGACGAAATAAAAAGACCTACTCAAATTCTGAAAAGTAAGTGTTGAAGATCTCATCACAGTTGTAGTATGCTTGGTTGATCAGGAAGTATTTTGTTCTCATTTTGAAAAGCTCGTCGCTAAGTAGCTTGACCTTATCTGGAATTGCGTTATATTTGTAGGAGTGAATTCAGTGGTGATTAATACCATTTATAGTAGTTTGTAGACGTTGTTGGAGTAAACTCAATTTGTAACGTTACATGCATCACAACTTAAACTATTCTATTAACAGAATCGTCTTTATGTTTTTCGACTTAAATATCCTCTCATGTTTTATTTGATCCTGTTCCTATATTATTATTTATCGATGGCTCATCTTTCAATAGCTCGTTCAAAAGTATCATATTCAACTGTTGGACGACACGACGTGTAAGTTGTTCTAAATTAAGGCAAAACACATTCCTGAAACACTGTTGAGTGTTCTTTCAGACGATCTTACCAGGCAGCCAATCTTATTTTTCCAAGTAATTTTGAATGGTTATAACACTGAGACTGATATGTAAAAGGGTGTTCACTTTCATAAATGGAAGAAACCTAGTTTGAAGATTGATGAATCTGTAACTTCCATATTTCACCGAAGATATTTAAACTTTAACCCCATACCTTCTACAAAACCATTCATATTGAAGCTGGAACAAAGCAAATACAAAGTTTGTAAAGGTGCTTCGCACACTGCACAATATTTAGAATTTTTTTCATTTCATGGCATTACCATATTTTTAAATACATTTACTATCTTTCGACAGCTCTTCACAGTATCTTTAAATGCCATTTCTGACCTGTGCTCCAAATTTACAGCAGTACTACAGGCAATTTCCAGGTGCCTTTCACAAAATATTAATCATGCAACAATTATTACAGATTCGAGAGCAGCCTTAGGAGCAATTAAACGAAATCCTCTTAAATCATATGATAACTTTTTATTATGCAAAATCAGAAACTTGTTCGTCAGTTGTCAAGCCAAAAGAGCAAAGATAAACTTTGTTTGGGTAAAAGGGCATGCTGGCATCGGAGGCAACGATATGGTTGATAAAGCTGCAAAAAATGCAATTCACTCCACTACGATTACTGATGTGCCACTTTTTCTGATTTATTCATAGAGATCAGAGGTAACATCAAGAAAAGATGGGATTTGATCTGGTCAAACTTTGTAGCAAACTCCCGAAATCATTATGCCTTCATTCACCCGACCCTTCCCAATATAATTCCCCACATAGATCTCTTCTATATGAATAGAAGATTCTCCACAATTATAACGAGATTGAGATTGGGCCATGGTTGCTATCCTGCTCATCTTCATCGAATAGGTGTAATAGAGTCTCCAAATTGTTCTTGTGATGAATCTTCTATAGCCGATCTAAGTCACATATTTTTTGCTTGTAATCTTAACACCAATATCTCCGACCAATTCATCGCTCAGATGATTAAACTTGGCTCCCAACTACCTTCAAATTTGACTACCATTTTATCCTTTCCGGATATAAAAAATTATTTAGCGCTAATGCAATTCCTTAAAAAGGCAAATATTACCATATAACATAAACCTTGTCTGGAGTTCGTCACTATTAAGTTATATCACCCCTTTTTCTTTGTTTCTTACCGTCTTTCACCATGATCAGATAATGTAAATCCATTAACAAAGTTTTGTGGCAAATGGACTCCAGTTTCCGATGCCATTATTTGACACACACACACACACACACACACACAAATGCCATTCGCCATTTTTTTGAATAACACTTACTTGCAAATACTACAATTTTTCATTACGCGTTCACCATATGTATTTTGACGTACGTACGTTTCAAAAGCTCAACGATATTTTTTAATGTATACACCGTATTCCGAAAGTTAAGAAAAGTTGACAACCATACTTCACCAAACATACTTAAACTTTATCCCCACATCTTTTACATAACAGTTGGTATTGAATCTGGATCAAGACAAATACAATGATACTTTCAAGTTGTAAAAGTGCTTCGCACATCTGCTACTGCACGATATTTTCATTTCATTTCATTTCATAATATCTCCATCATAATCTTAAATGCATTCACTATTTTGCGACAGCAACTTATTTGCAAATACTACTACCATTTTTCATTACGCTTCCACCATATTTTTAAGGTGCATCCACTTTTTTTCCAAAGCCCAACTAATATCCTTAAATGCATCCACCTTATTTCGAAAGTTCAGAAAAGTTGACGTCTATGTAAAGCGTCACATCTCCTAATAAATTGATATGATAGATAGAAAGTTGGAAAGTAGTGCTGGCTGGCATCTAATCATTAGCTGAAATACGATAGCCTCAAATATAATAGAGAGTTCTGGAAATCACAAATACTGTTTAAGTTAACGTGCATGTTAGCATCATCCCTCACTTACCGCATAAACATTATTGACTTAAATGTAAAAAGGGTGAACTTTAACGATCATGTATGCGGAATTTGTGAATGCCAACACCTTCTATTTTCATGCATGTAGCGTATGTAACTACATAATACTACATTATCATTTGAAGAAATTTACAGAATGTTAGATTTAGGCAAGTAAATGGCAAATCTTCCACAATATTCCTAAACGGCTATGAATATATTAGTGTACAGCTGTTATGACTGGAAGACATCCCAAGATGCAAGACATTATCTATAACTGGCAACTGTCTGAATATTCGATCCGTTAGTTTTAGCTAGAATGCCAAGACTACTTATCGCTCTATACTGGTTAACATATTTACAAAGCTTTCATAGAAGTTCCTTAAATGTTTTTATTACAATGTATACAACTACTTTATCATTTAGATGTAACTATCATTAATATAGCATTTTCACAAGGCTGTCATAACTAAAAAATACATCGTTTTGCTGGTCTAATCGATTGAATGGTCCTAGGATCTTGAAATTTTGCGGTAGACCGTAATTAGTTTCAGACTGGTTGAATTTCGTATAGATAATTTATAAACACAGGTCATATGACTGCATCATACCACATCATATATATGTTTAGCTTTCTGTCTATTGTATGACGTCCTGGCCATGTCTGTGATCCTTTTCAAGTACAATGGTCAGTTCTGTGATAATATATTTTGTGTTCTATCTTCTAGGTGACATTTGGTTTCTTTTGCCTTTTTAACATTGCTGTAGTGTGTTGCCTGAACGGTTGTGTAACGTGCTCACCCGAGGCAGACCTCCCCGCTTTTACAAAGATGTCCAGCTTCCCAAAGCGGCAGGCGAGCCTAAAATTATCTGTCGTTTTTTAATGTACCAGACACGCCACCCTGGTCCATCGTTCCGAAGACGCCAAAACTCCTTTGACAACGCGAAAACCCACCCAGAGCTATTGTTGCAACACCTGCTAAACGAGAAGCAATTTTCGACCACAAATGCTGCATGGGCATTGTTTGTCTTGTGTAATAAAAACACAAGAGTTTGCCCTTGCGATCTCGCATTTTAGATTCAATAACAAATAATAAGAAAAAAAACCTGTAAGTAAAAAACTTATGATGCATAAGTCGGGTTGGAGAATATCATTTCGCCTAAATTCCAAAACATCACCCAAATTGATTTGCTGCCTTTATCGCTCTCCCTCGGACCATAACTGGGATGACCTACTCGAATACCTCGCCGTCCAGATCGGCTTCCTGAACGTCAATCACCCCGCTTCAGAGGTAGTTCTTCTCGGTGATTTCAATGCCCATAATGAGCTTTGGTGAATCTCTTTCTGACCACGCATCCTGTCCCCCCTGGGTAACACACACCACGGTGTTGTCGAGGTTAGGTTTCGGTCAGAACCCGCTGTGGCAGCAGAAACTCGTACAGGCCGCAAAACTTGGCATTACGGATATGCCAACTGGGAGGGGCTCAGAGATTTCTTCTCTAGCTTTCCTTGGCGAAATGTCTGTTTCACTGACGCACATCCAGTCTTATGGTGAGGCTCATGTCGTTGCTCTTGACATCACGAAAACGTTCGATCAGCTGTGGCACGCTGCCCTCTTAAGCAAACTTTCATCCTATGGCCTCCCAGAAAAGTTTTGCAGATGGTTGGCTGACTTTATCTCAGGCGGCAAGATATCCGTCGTAATTGACGGGTTCTCCTCTTCATCCCACAACGGCAACGCGGGTGTTCCCCAGGGATCGGTCTTGGCTCCAACACTATTTCTCTTACATATCAACGGCCTCCTTTCCTACACGATCAACCCAATTCAGAGCTTCGCTGATGACAGCACTCTACATGCAGGAATTGAGAGTGACAAGCCGATCTCTGCCACTGAGCTGGAAAAAAGAAGACTAGCGACGACTGACTCTCTGACAAGAGACCTGGAGGCTATCACTGCTTGAGGACGAAACAATCTTGTACAGTTCAATGCTTCCAAAACATAGTACTGTACTTTGACGAACAAAACGCGTTCTAGCGCTCATCCAGTTTCAATGGACGGCCGAGTCTTGCCAGAGAGCCATTCATTTCGGCTGCTGCTGGGAAAAAGTTAGGCTATTTGTCTAGGGCTAAGAAGTACTTTTCTCTGCATGACCTTCTCACTCTATACAAGACCCAGATAAGGTCTAGCCTCGAGTACTGCTCACACGTTTGGAGTGCTGCCGCCCCGACTACATTATCCATGCTCGATGCTGTCCAGAGCGAGGCGGTCCGACTGATCGATGACTCTTCTCTAATAGACAGTCTCGGGACTCTAACTCTTTTCTATCGCTACACCAACGGGCTTTGCTCCTCAGAGGTCTTTTCCATGATGCTGCCGCGCAATGTGCCTGCTAGGCAGACTCGCCTGACTTTGGCGTTTGGCGTCCCATCCTAACCGTGTCGAACTTCGTACATCCAGAACTGGGTGATACGACCGAGGGTGTCGAGATTGTGGAACAATCTACGAGAGGAAGCTTTTCCCAGGTCTACCAACCTTAGGAAGCTCAAAAATCGTATTAACAAAATTTATTTGGGATCATCATGGCAGCCGCGGTGTACCGGCATACAGGCTTCTGCCTGTGCGGCTGCTTCGACATAAATAAAGAACTTTCCTGAAATCATATTCAACCAAATTGGGTGACAGTGGAATGTAAAAAATAAAAAGAAACGAAATGTCACCTAGAAGACAGAATACATAATAGATTGTCAGTTGTAGTTGAAAAAGATTTCGGTGGTGGTAGAAAAATCTAGGCTATCTGTTGTCATAGTACAAACAGAAATCTAAACATATAAGTGCCTTTGATTCGGCTAGATAATGGAGTACTATGAACATAAAAAACACATGATAAGTTGACGTTACATTATTTTTCGTTAGACAGAATTTGTCCAACCTTTAATTTTGGTATTCCATTCAGTGGTTTTACTTTCATCTCATTTCAATGAACTATGTACTGACGTAGCATACCGAAGTTGTGGGTTTGACTGCCACTGATACAACATTCTTCGTTGCAAGGCAGTTTTTCAATACTCAAATGAAAACCATTTTCGACCAATACTCCCGGGTAAAATGTTGAATAATTTCTAGGTACGAATGCAAGGTGGTGTTCCTCAACCGACTGCCGAACCAGAACAAGAACGGCACCTGGTTCCACCTGGACGTGCACGCCCCCCCTAGGTTCGTCGTCACCCCCGAGGACGTTGTCTACGTGAACCTAGGGGACGCCATCATCCTCAACTGCCAAGCGGAAGGCACACCGTCGCCGGAGATCCTCTGGTACAAGGATGCCAACCCTGTAGAACCATCCGCCACCATTGGTAAGGAGCATGTCCCCAATTGTCCCTCCTGGTACCGATCATATGTCATTTATGTGGTACAGGACCCACGAGCATCCAAAAGCATGACTGGAAGTCGTACATGCTGTAATGTAATATTTCAATAGGGTATGCTTTCTCCATTTTTCGGACTGATTGTGATGAAACACATATTAAATTCGGTACAAGTCACGTTATACGTATGGTAACGTTTTGGTAATAATAAGATTTGTTAACCTGTCAATATACGTTAAGCAACGTGGAGTAAACTCATCCAGCCATACGGTGAGGCTCATGTCGTTGCTTTTGATATTCCGAAAATCTTCGATCAGCTGTGGATAAGCCTCGCAGAAGGGTAGCTGACTCTCTGACCGTAAGGCATCGGTCGCAATTGTCGGATCCTCTTCTTCATCCCACATGTTCCCTAGGAATCTCTCTTGGCTTCGAGGTTGTTCATCTAACACATCGATTACCTCCTTTCCTGTACGATGAATCCGATCCACGGTTTTGCTGCAGGAATTCATAGTGACAAGCCGAATTCTGCCAGTAAGCAGATGACAAGAAGAATAGCAGCGTTTTTCTCTCTGACCAGCGACCTGGAGGATTTCACTCTAACGGACAGTCTCGGAACCCTTTGGCACCGACAAACCGTCGGCGATCTAGCTCTCTTCTACCGCTACGCTTTATTCCTCAGGGCTCTTCTTCATAATATCGGCTTGAATAATAGAACTGACTTACACAATTCACTCTATTACCTAGTGCCCCCGTGAGTAATTAAAGAAAAACAACAGCACCTTTTGCGTAATATATATACAGGGTGGCGCATCGAAAACGAAACAGACGCATTTACTGGCAGCTGAGTTTTTTTTGGAAAAACGCTTAGACACGTAGATTTTGTTTTCGAGGGGGACACAAGTTTGGCAAAAAATCACGTTAACGCGTGCAGCCCCCTGGACGGGGGTGAAACCACCCCCAAAATCTTAAATGGAGTGGGGGTCGAGTGATACCTTATTTTAAAGGTCTTTCTATTCCCTTTATAATGATTTAAATACATGACCTTCAGTTCAGTAGTGTTGAAGATTTATTGATTTAAAGCTTAAAGTAGACTTTAATAGGTACATCAGATTAGTTTGTACTTCTTTCTGAAGAAATTTGACTAAAAGAATTTACTTAATAAGTATATGCTTTTCTTCACTACGCCTATGGTTTTTTATCATTTCTTGAAGAAAGATAAGGAAATATCTCGTACTTATTTTAAATAGGAATTTAGTACATAGTTTGCGATTGATTTGACCAAACTTTGTTGCTTAAATAACTTACAACGCTTTATTACATAAATTAACCATGGTATATTCCACAGCAGAAAGAGTTGAAATTATCGAAATATTTTTCGGAAATAATCAGTGCGCTAATAGAACAGCAGAAATATTTAATGAGCGACATGAGAACAGTAACGTGCATCGAAAATATGTTCTAGAACTTGTAGCTAAATTTCGGGAAACGCAACATTGAAAATACCATAAGGAACAAAGCAATAGAAGTGGGGGTTTTAGGACAAGTTTATGTAGATCCTACGTTAAGTACCCGCAAATTGGAGACTGTGTGTGGTGTTAGTCGACGTACTGTCCAACGGATTCTAAAGGCCATAGTTTTCATCCGTATAAAATTCACTTGGTACAAGAACCTAATGAAGACGATTTTGATCGGCGATTACAATTTTGTGAAGATATGAGTGAACGAATTATAAGCGATGAACATTTTCTATTCAACACTTGCTTTTCCGACGAATGTTCCTTTTTCTTAAATGGCGTAGTAAATCGTCATAACTGCCGATATTGCTCCGATTCTAATCCCAGAATTTATCATGAGGTTCATACACAGCAGCCACAATAATTAAATGTTTGGGCTGGTATTTTTGGCGATCATTTAGTTGGTCCTTTTTTCTTATCTGGAAATTTGACCGGTGAAATGTATTTGGAATTACTGGAAGACGCCATAGATCCTGCATTAACAGCCATAGTCGGAATGATCGGCGGTACATTGCGAATAGGTTGATGTTCCAACAGGATGGTGCCCCACCACATTACGCATTACGTGTTCGACAATATTTAGATCAGACGTTTCCAGATCGATGGATTGGTAGAAGAGGATTGAATGGCCCCCAAGAGCGCCAGATTTATCACCTTTGGATTTCTTTACGTGGGGTCATTTTAAAAGCAAAATCTATGCTACTAAGCCAACATCATTAGAAGACCTGCGACAAAGAATTGTGAATGAGTGCCTTCAAATTACTCCTCAAATATTGCAAAATGTGCGGCAACGTTTTGAGCAAAATCTTTTTTATTGCATGGAGGGTCATGGTGGCCATATTCAACATTAACTTGCCTAACGGGTCAGTCCATTCTTCATTTTTAAATTACTTTGCTGCCAAATCTATTGATCTCCACTAATGATGATGTATTATGTAGTTTTATTTAAGCTTTAAATCAATACATCTTCAAAACTACTGAACTGAAGTACATTAATTTTATATCATTATAAAGGGAATTGAAAGACCCCTTAAAATAAGGTATCACTCGACCCCCCTTTTCCGTTTAAGATTTTGGGGTTGGTGTCACCAGCACTTAGGGGGCTGCACGTGCTAACGTGATGTTTTGCCATAGTTGTGTCCACCTTGAAAACAAAATCGATGGGTCTGAGCGTTGTTCCAAAAAAAAACTGAGCTGCCAGTAAATACGTCAGTCTCGTTTTCGATGCGCCACCCTGTATATATATATATTTCACATCAGTGGTTGACGAAGATTAACCCCATTTTCCGGCCAATAATATTAATAGTGGGCTTGTTACGTCATTGCTCGGCCATAAACGAGAATGCCCGGATTATTTAGCATTAAGCTGGTTATACTTCTCCTTTTAAATTTGGTACTTAACTATAGTTGACTTACCACCTACCTCACATGAATACGTTTAATTCTAGTACTAATACGGGTATTTTTGACATAATTTAAGGTTTAGTAAACAACAACTTGACAGATAGAAAAATGGGCACTGGTGGAATTCTAACCCGCCCAGATGCTAACCAACTTTTAGGATCGACTGCTAAAGGCAAATTCAATGGGTAGGATTATTACCTTGTTCTTTCAAGCTGCTTGATGCGCCAATTGACGATGTTCAAGTGCAACAAATCGGATGGGTAAAGTATCTCTAATCGCTTTCTAGTTGCTTCACGCCGTCTCGTGGGCACACACCGCGGTATCAACGTGCGAGGTCAGTAACGTGTATACGATTCTTCTGATGAGCGCATTCGCAACAACGATTATGTCTAGTAAACAATAACTTGAGACAAAGGAAAAATGTTCCTATCTCCTTTCCACCACAGGATAAGTAGTTTGAGTTACTTTCATTTTATCAACTCTGTAAAACTTGGAGCGCTCTTATTTTAAATGTGTTAAATATTGTAACGGAGAGATCGTTCTTAATGTCCAATGTCTAATTTATTACTTTACATTAATTGACAATTTGTAATGACAGTGACTGGACTACGACCGTATCCTGTGGCGAGTCATCGCACTTATTGCCTAGTCGACTGTTATTCCATTTTAATTCCGCGCTCGCTGTCTATTCACCGAATAACTGCTTCCGTCATCTAGTCGGGTATTTATCCTCTTATTAATACGTCGAGAAATGTTCTAGCGCTTTCCAGACAAAGTTGTGAACTTCCATTGAAGTAGTGTAGATGTCAGCAGGTACCTCCAGACGGATTTTGGATACTCGTGATTGCGACGCGAACGGTCCAGAAGCACGCTCCACACATGGTCGCGTAAGTCTGGTTGCCTAAGCGTTGACTCTGCCGAGCGACTCTTCGCCGCTGAAGATTCCAGCTATACGAGGGCGTTACAATGCCGACTCCTCAAGACCGTTTCGACCCGAAACGGGTTCCTTGGGCCATGGCGGGATCGGCAGGGGTCTTCAGCCATGATGACACGGACATGCACGTCTTTCTGGTGATTCAGAATGACTCTCTCTCTCTGCTCCTACTTGAGGATGCGGAGCTCCAAGTCTAGCTGGAACCCAGGATCACATCATCTTCGATATTAGCAACGATGATGACGGAGCCGATCTCCACATACAGCAACAGCAGGTCCCGTCGCGGGGCGTTGTTTCCCGAACTTTTCATCAGGTCTTTAGCTATATGAGCGCGTTACACTATTATCATATGGTGCATGTTATGCTTGATCACTTTCATCTCCATTAGTCCACCTTCCAATCATCGGCACAGCGACTGCGAAGTTCACGTAGTGTAGTGTGCGCCTTCTTTCCCGCAGGAGTCTTCAACGAAGGCACCGAGCTCAGGATCAGCAACATCAGGCACGAGGACATTGGGGACTACACATGCATAGCCAGGAATGGGGAGGGACAGATATCTCATACTGCCAGGGTCATCATCGCCGGTGGAGCTGTCATTATGGTGAGTACTTATTTTATTCTCGACACCTTCCTCCGATGAAACCCAAATAGTCTGGCATTCCACTCACTATGAGGTATCCATCATATACTAGTTATGCAGGTTGTCCATGATGTATATACAGGGTGTCACAACCGTGCGAGGACGGAGTATTGCTCCTAAACAAAAAGATTTCAAAGAAAACTATGGATGATTATACAGGGTGTCCGCAAAGTTGGGGTTTTCCTTTACACGACGTGTAGATCTTGAAAACATAAGCAATTTTTCTTAGTACCATATACACCAACGTCTTAAGGGAACCGAGATAAAGGGCTCTGCAACATCAAAAATATCTGAATACCGTCCTGTAGCCGCGACCCGCGACATCACCGAGTGGTACAAGGTCACTGGCTCAACGCGACGACGGAACAGGGTCGGGGTCAGTGAGTCAGGTCAGTATGCAACCTTCAACCGACGGTTACGGTCACGCGTGTAGAGGTAATCGCGTAGACAAGAATCCCTCAACAAGCACTAGAGACGTGGCTAGAGAAGTGCAAGTATCAAAAACTAAAGTGTGGCAAACGCTGCGTGAAGAGGGGCTGTATCCGTTTCACGTCCAATGTGTACAAGTCCTTCAACCTGACGATTTTCCAGCAAGAGTGCGGTTTTGTGAGTGGTTGTTGCATCAACATGACAATAATCCGGACTTTTTGAAGTGCATATTGGTGAGAGACGAATCTACGTTCACGCGTAATGGGGTGAATAACTTTCGCAACACTCATGTCTGGTCAGTAGAAAATCCGCACGCTGTCCGTCGGGCACATTTTCAACAAACATTTTCGGTGAATGTTTGGGCTGACATGGTGAACGGTATGCTCATTGGACTATTTACTCTCCCAAATCGATTGGACGGGATGCAATACCTAGACTTTTTACGCAACATTTTGCCTTCCTTGTTAGAAGATGTGCCACTAAGTGTAAGACAATCAATGTGGTTTCTGCATGATGGTGCACCGCCCCATTTTAGACGCGAAGTGCGTGAGTTTTTGAATGAATTATTTCCGAATAGGTGGATCGGACGTAATGAACCCGTAGCGTGGCCTCCGCGATCTCCAGACTTAACACCATGTGATTTTTTTCTTTGGGGAGAAATGAAACGCTTAGTGTACAAAACTGAAGTGCATACGGTTGACAAACTTCGTCTCAGAATTGAACAAGCTGGTGCTTTCATTCGGGGGAGGGACTCCATTCTCAAAGCCTGCACCGATGCTTGGCTACGTCGTGCACGCACCTGTGTTTTTGAATCAAACGGCGATAACTTCGAACAATACCTATAAAGTACGTTTACCTAAAAACTGAAAACGCGGAAACGCCGTCATATTTGTTACCTCTGTTCGTGGTCTGCACCACCGCCTGCGTCTGCTCGGTAGCGCATCAGCTGATTTCACTTTCTGTTGGAGCGGTATGATTTCGGGCAGAGACGTACTTAGCTCTTCCCGTCAACTGGAGAGTGAGTACTTTTTCCTTTATTTTTTTTTACTTGGTCGTCTTCGTTTCACTACACATTATCTCAAGGGTAGTTGTTTCTGAAAAGGAAAACCCCAACCTTGCGGAGAGGTATATGGAGACATATTCCTAAAATACCTACAATTATACAGGGTGAAAAAAATTTTCTCATTTTATAATACTCGTAATAATAATAATAGTAATAATAATAATAATAGTGATAATTATATTAATCCGGCTATATTTATACAAGGTATAAAAAGGCGCAGTTTCGCTAAAAAGCGTTTTTTAACTTAACCCAACAAATATTTGTGTAAATTTTCTAATGCCAAAGTTAAAAAAAAAACCTGTAACGAGTCCCTATCCAAGGCAATGCTTTACTTACTGGGCAATAAAATCAGAGATAAAACGCTTCAATCTTTTTTTGAAATTCTTTATAGAGTAGTGAGTGAACTCGGTAGGCAACGCGTTGTATAGCCGGAAAACAGGTGTTTTGCCTAGGTCTCATAAATAGTTAAAAATCTTATACGAAGAGTTTTTTCGTTCCTGTCAACACTTTCGATTGAATCCCAAAAAGACGTTTTCTCATTCTTTGTTGTCGATTATAAAGTTTTCCCACAAAAAATGGCGTCCACGTTTTGAATACCCCTTTGAACAAGTTGCACCAATAAAACCAGACTTTACAATTATTTTTGGGAAATTTGCTAATATGATTAGACTATCAGACAAAAATATAAAATATCCTGTGGATGAGATGCATAGGTAAATTTACCAGTTTCTCATATCAAGTATTTATATTTGATATCTCGTGTGTAGGTCCCCCCGACGAATCAAACAAAGCTGGAGGGCGAAAAAGTCCAGTTCAACTGCGAGGCCAAGGCTCAACCAGGCAACGTGACAGTTCGGTGGTTTCGAGAAGGTGCTCCCGTAAAGGAGTTGGCTTCGCTGGAGACCAGGGTAACCATCAGAAGAGACGGTTCTCTGGTTATCAACCCCGTAAGCTCAGACGACTCAGGGCAGTACCTCTGTGAGGTCAGCAATGGAATTGGGGAGCCCCAGTCTGCATCAGCTTATCTCAACGTTGAATGTGAGTATCCCTTTATACAGGATGTTTCAGTTTATTGTTGCATAACTTTAAGATTCGATAGAACTTTTAAAATTAATGCATAAAGTCTATATAAACATGGGTCGAAAAATGCGTGGCTTCCGAAATACAGGGTGTTTAAATTTACTTTCTAAAATAGTTTTTTTTAAATATTTCGAACAATATTTGATGTATAACAGTGAAAATTGGTGTACAAGGGTATTTTGGTACGACAAAACGAACCATGGGCATAGTCTTACTGTAGCCGCTAGTGTACCTGTAGTGTATTAAAATGACCGAAAATTTTTTCTTAGCGCAATTTTTTGCTTTTTGAATAAAAAAGCTGATTCTTCGCACTTTTCAACATGAAAAAGCTCTCCTGTGAGTTTTCGTTATAGTTAGCCGTTTTTGAAATATTTCGATTTTTAAGGTTCGATGCATTTTTAATTATATATGGGAAAATAATATTTTTTTTTTGCATTTTCGATTTGGGCATTACAAGTAATTAAGATGATCGTTTAGATTGTGTTTTTAAACACAGCAATAATTCCTAACTCCAAATAAACACAAAAAACAGAATATTAATTTGTTTAATTTTCCAATATTATTTTTAACAAGGGGATCGTGGAGGCCAGGCGACTGGTCCTTCCTCCACGGCCGATCCATCTTTCTGGATAATTTTCGTCCAGCCAGTTTCTAACTATTCTCGAATAATGAGCTGGACAACCATCAAGCTGGAACCAGGCCAATCTTCTTAAATCTAACATAACATCATCCCACATATTTGCATGTTCCGCCTTTAAAAATTCCAAGAAAGTCGCAGCATTTAACCTTGCAAGCAAAAGGTAGGGTCCAAATAGTCGACTACGGTAGATACCAATCCACACGTTCACACTAAATTCATGCTGAAAATTTCTTTCCCGAACTGCATGCGGATTTTCATGCGACCAAATGTGTTGATTATGAAAATTTACCACTCCACGTCTAGTGAAGCATGACTCATCGGTCCATAAAACGTTACTTAAAAACTCCCTATTATTATCAGTTCTATCAAGAATCCACTGACACAATGTTATTCTTCGTTCTCCGTCCCCTGGCTGTAGTCCTTGCACAGGTTGCAAATGGTAAGGACGTTTATGGTCATTTCTAAGAACACGGTGAACATGGCTTGCTAAAATTCCCAAGGCACCAGAAATTCGCCTAACACTTGTGGTCGGATCTCTATCAAACTCAGCAGAATCATACGGGTAAATCTGCGTTGACGAACATTTATGTTTTGATCCCTTTGGAGATTTCCAAAACCATTTTCAATTATTTGGCGATGCACTCTTACAATTACTGAGCGAGTTGGATGTCGTCTGTTTGGAAATCTTCGTGCGTATTCTCTGGCTGCTTCTGCTGCGTTTCCATTTATAAAGCCATACACAAATTGAATATCCGCTAACTCTTGATTGGAGAATAAAAATGGCATTTTTATAAAACTTACAAAAAAAAAAACAAGTAAAAGAAACTAAATTTCGTGCATTCACAATTGCAAAAAAACGTTTCAGGTTTCAATAGACAACAAGACTAACTGTCAACTAATTGACGTTTAACCTTATTCTGCTTTCAATTTCAAAAATTTGTTTATTCAAAAAGCAAAAAATTGCACATTTTTCGGTCATTTTAATACACTACAGGTACAGTAGAGAGCGCCCTCTAGCGGCTACAGTAAAACTATGCCCGTGGTTCGTTTTGTCGTACCAAAAAACCCTTGTATACCAATTTTCACTGTTATACATCAAATATTGTTCGAAATATTTAAAAAAAAATATTTTAGAAAGTAAATTTAAACACCCTGTATAATCAATTATACGTTGTGGATGGTCTAAGTTGAGGAATTACTTTTTTAGGAACTAAAGTTTTTAAATAAACAAAATATGTCTCCTGCCAGATATTAAATTAGAATTGTATATTTTATTTATGTGGAAAGCACCGTAAATGTGTCTTATAAGTTACCTTCTTAAGAGCTTCGCTCAGGTATTGAAAATAAAGAGAGGCTAAAATATTTATCTGTTGCTCTTTTATATTACGCGAAAATTTTAAATTTTTTGTTCAAAACATAATAACTAAACTAGAGTCTCTTATGCTTTCTACGAGCACATTTTGTGTAAATATTTATATTTAATCACAGAAAATGTTCTTTTATTTCTATTTCTCATGACATTTGTTTTTTTTATTTTTGTTATATAAAATGAAAAATAGGGTTACGGTCTTTGTGTTTGAAATTTCGTATATTTTGGTAATGAAATTTTTGAGACAGTTATATTTTGCTGTGTTGAGAAGAAACAAGCAAAGAATCAACATTTATTAGAAAATCATGAGAATGTTTTATTTATTACTTCGCTTAGCTATTAGAGATCATTTTTAATTATATTTTGTTTTCCAGTAACATGTTTTTTGCAACAAGTAGTTGATAGACTCAGAAACTTTCTATGAATTGCGTGCTGAACACATCGATTTTTATGTAATCTCATTAACAAAAATCAATTGTTGTAAGGTGAAATGACTCATAAGTCGAGATGCCAGTTTATCAGTCAATCTGCAAAAGACACAGGTCAGCTCGAAATATAAGCAACCGGTGCATTTATTTTGATAAAATTTGGGGAACATTATGATACGAAGTCGCAATTGACAATGCTGATATAGTTTTTAGAATGTATGACCAAGAAAACAAATAAGATTCACCACCTCCAAACCGATTTTTTACATTTTTCGTATTTTAGGAAGGGACAAAAATGTTGTTCGCTAAACTTAGATTCCTACGTCATTTTGTGGAGTAGTCAAAAGCAGTTTTGAGAGTCGCACATCTTTAGGGATGTTGCTAGTCCTATTCATTGTAAGAGGTTTAGACATACCAGCTGTTATAATAGTATAACACTTCAAGGGGTGATTTCTTGGGTCAAGAAAAAATTTATATACATAGTGTTTTCAAGGTAAAGAGTGTCAAACTTGTTTTTTGTAAAGAAAAGTAATAACACTTTAGTAGTTCAGATGAGAAGTACTAACATAAGAGTATTGCAGAAAACTTAATAAAGATGCTATTAATGAAGCTATAAAGGCAGCAGCGGTGGCCGCAGTAGTAGACTGTTCGGTCTCCTGATCAGTCGCCGTGCGCTGTGCGGGTTCGAGTCCCGTCCCAGGAGAAAATTTTCTCTTGGCTATGGATGTTGTGATTGTCCGTGTAGGTGGTAGATGGTCTCTGACTGTCGAACGCGGAGGTACCACCCGGCGGTTCTCGTAGGAGGAGCCAGAATGTGTGCATGTTGCATGCACACGTGTTCCCTCGCCAGAGTCTGTGTGACGTCCCCCCTTTCCCATGTATCCCTATAGCCCCACGGTACCCAATGGGTGCTTAGGCCTTAGGCCTTCGTGGTAGTTGAAATATAAAAAAAAACATGTCTACGTATATCACCAGATACAAATCCTTCGTTGGGGGCTTAGGTTTTATTGATGCGTTATCTCATTCAATTCACTTCAAATTTCCAGCGCAACATTTGCGCATCCACAAATTCTCCAAAAACCGGCTGAAGAAGTATCAAGATTTTTACAAAAAATTGATCTTTCAGACAAGTGTTTGAAAACGAAACGCTATTAGGACAGCATTTATATATAATTTTTTCATGTGTATCATTTTGTTGATACTCAAACAGGCTTTCAGTATCAAAACTTTACAAAAACTCATTTTTACTTGATAAGTTTTTTTGAGGTTACTTCTCAAAACACTCGAATAGTATGCTAACACATTTTGAGAATAAACGTATAAGAAATGTTCAAACCAGTTAGGGGCTGATAATTTTAACTTGGGTTATTATTTTTACAGATCCAGCGAAGGTGACTTTCACACCAACTGTTCAATATTTGCCTTTCCGACTAGCAGGAGTTGTCCAGTGTTATATCAAGGCCAACCCTCCATTGCAATACGTTACTTGGACCAAGGACAAGAGATTGCTAGAACCTTATCAGACCAAAGACATCGTTATTATGAACAATGGTTCCCTTTTGTTCACCAGAGTCAATGAAAATCATCAGGTATTTCTATATGTTGATATTTCTGTAGACCTTTAATGTCAACATCTGTATCAAAAAAGCTAATGACTTTGTTGATTATGCCTCATTATACTATTTATGAGACCGCAATTGACTGAATATTGAATATAGTACAGGTCGTATCTTCGTATCTGATGGGAAAATATTCTGGTTTGGATTTTTTTGCATAATCTTACTCAAAAAGGACCACTTTTGATGAATCTGCACGTGTCCAGGCCCAAATTTTTGTCAACAGTTCTCTTAACAAATTTTTAAACAAATTACACATTTTTTTCGCTCCAGTCAGTTTTTGGATTATAAGAGCATTCTGAACAAAAAAGGTACTTAAGAACTTTTCTCTAAAATTGGTAGTTTTCGAGATACAGGCGATACAATATCTCAAAAAGTATAAAATGGGCCATTTTCAAACAGGAAAAATGATATGAAAAAGCGGTAGCTGTTGCCGAACTTACTGAATATTCTTTAAATTAACCGTTAACAAAATATCAAAGCATCTCAGGAGGTATTGTTATTGTAAACCTTTGTATTTAATTGTTAACCAAATGCGCCCTCAGTGCGATAAAGACGCATTTCTTTCACGCACGCGCAGAATATACTCGTACATTGACGGTGCACTGGACGAACAATTAAAAAACAAAGATTTATAATAAAAATTCCCCGTGGAATGCGTTGAAGTTTTGTTTATGGGTGTTTAAAGAATATTTAGGAAGCTAGGCAACATTCATATTTTCGTTTTTTCATATTGCTTTTCGGGGTCCAGGATGACGTATTTTGTTCCTTTTCGGATATTGTATCACTAATAACTAGAAAACTGTCAACATTAGAGAAAAGTTATGAAGCATGTTTTTTGTTTAATTTTCAAAAAATTATTATACATGGTGTCCCAGTATTCCGTCGATTGGTCATGATTTACCTCTGTTCAAAAATTGTTCGATAGTTAGATTTGAATGAAGATGTGTTTTACTAGATGTTCTGAAATTTGACTTTAAAAAAAAACCAAGGGTGGGGTAGCAGAATTTTTTCACAACTGACCCAACGACTCTGATTTTTTTTTAATTAGAAGACCTTTTTGTTTACTTCATTTCTTGTCTCCAATCAGTTTGAGAGAAAAAATGTTTTTCGGGGCTGGTTTCAAAAATGAGGGAACAGTGCTTTTTTGAACTCATGTTCATGTTCTAATCTTCGACCACTTCAAGAACAGCTTCTTCCAATAGCGGTGTTCGGGCTTGTCGCGGTTTCCCAGTATTGCTTGCAAAAGTCTGACCATTTGGAATTCGTTGAATCGAATATGTCTTGATACACGCGAACACTTTTTCTGCATCAACAGAATATTCCACAATCACGAGAAGAACAAGCAAAATAATCTTAAACGTTAATTAATTTAAAATGTATGAAGAAAAAACGACAAATTAGCAATAAAAATAAACACAAATATTACTTACTAATTTGAGCTCTACGAAGCTTGTTGTCAAAAATAATATGAAATTGACATAATATCTCATATTTCCGCTAACTAGATGTTAAGACTTGATGTGATGAAAAAATGTCTTAGAAAGCAGCGCCCACAAACATTTTAATCTCGAAAACGATGCGAAATGGCCTGTTTTTAAAATAGTAAAAATTGAAGTAAAGGATCTTTTACACAATAGAGACACTGGGAGAATTGTGGAAAAATCTGCTATAATTTTTGTAGTGGTGGGGGTAGTTTTCATCCTTCTCGAATACTTTCGGTCGAATATTAGGACGTCTAGTAAAACATATTTTCATTCAAATCACACTATCTTTTCCAAATACAGGTATATCTGAAAAAATGTGTTTGAAAAAGTAATCTTTCTTCGACTTATTTTGAGCTCAAAAATGCGTGGTTCTTCTATGTCTACGGACTACTGGAAGACCCAGTAAACTTTTGAAAACTTATATGATATGTAATCCACTATTTTTTTCCACAGGGTCGATATACCTGTACGCCTTACAACGCTCAAGGTACCCAAGGCAGTTCTGGGCAAATGGAAGTGCTGGTGCGAAAACCACCAGCTTTTACTGTAGAACCAGAACCAATGTACCAACGGAAAGTAGGAGAGTCAGTTGAAATGCACTGTGAAGCCCAAGAAGCTGAAGGGACGCAGAAGCCTAGTGTACAGTGGCAAAGAAGAGATGGTATGTTGAGACAAAATGAATTTTGTTTAGGTTGGGTGATCCATACTAGTTTAGTTACATTGAAAAAATCTAACCATAAGGTAGTTATATCAAGGGAAGACATTTCGTGGAATGTCTTTACAATCTGCAAGTTGATTCCATAGACTTTGGGCGTTTTCTGCAGTATAGTAGGGCAGCCGACCGCAAATTTTTTGTTAGATCATCGCTAAACAGAAAACCTGCTGTTTGCTGTTTAGACTCAACATACGTTAGCGTTCACTAGTTTTTAACATACGTCAGCACGCGATGCAACCAGAATTTTGCGGTCGGCTCTTGGACTATTATTGGTTTACAAACAAAAAACAGGAATCTATGACCGTCCTTGGTTTGGCGATTCGCTCATAGATGGATCGATATGCTTCAAAGGATTTGCGCATTTCGTTCATAGATGACTCTGCATGTATCGAAGCGGTGTTGCCAAACTGTCAAAAAATGTTCAAAAAACGCTACTTTTATACTGAGCTGAATGCAGTTCAGTTCTTTTCACGATTTTTGGTGATTATGGCAAAACGTTATATGAAATAACTTAACATATGTCTCAAGGTCAGGCGCTTGGTTACAAAAAAATTAAATTTCAAGCTGACGTTCCGCTTTTGTTACTAAGCTAAATCGTCTAATATTAAGTGTAGAGTCCTGAAAGTTGATTAGCTATGTGAACTTGAGGATAACTTCTGTCTAAACGACACAGGGCGGACTCGCGGAAAGTGTGATTTGTAACTTTGAATGAAAAATATATTTCGTAGGCTGCAAACTGGTGATAAATATCTCTACCATGAATAAATGTCAAACACGTAAATTTGGACGAACAATGCTTTGACGACGTGTTTAGACACCATTAGCTGTTTTGTGGACGCCGTGTTTTGAGTTACATCTCTTATCTCTCTCTAATTCATTCGCCTTGTATAGCTGTCTTCTCTTGGCACAACTACTCTGGTCCAACATTGTTATTTTGAAAAGACCTGATGCCTTATTCTGGAGTCATGAGCTGTACCTGTTCACAGAGTCCATATTCGAAAGTGATTTAGTCTTCAACCTTGAGTCATTTGAAGGATCTTATAACTGCAGATCCCAAATGGAAAAGTAGTCAAACTTGATCAGCTGTGTACGCTTTTGGAGGGATGGACGTACTTTCGGGACCGGTATACCTACCCCAGGCGGTTCTGCGATCTTAAAATTGCAAAGATGGCTTCTCGCTTCTCTCATTTGATTTGGTTAAACATGGAGATTACCACAATCAACAAGTTAAAAACTGAAATCCATATACTGTAGCATAGAATAGAGAGGACTGTGTAAATACAGTTTTTAACCGTTTTTCAAAAACCCTTACTGATAATATACGTATCCTTGATATAACGGATCCAAACATCCGTTGACTATTTGTGGTTCAACCAAATTAAGATTTGGATTGGAATAATTTGACTTAATGCACATGATGTATCGGAAAATGCGTAAGACCATTGGGACATAATGCATGCTTCCTTGAATAAGAATCCTTAAGAGAAACATCTGTTCTTAAAATACATGGTTCTCAGGATCTTTGTTTGCATCAAAAATGACGCCAAGTAAGTTGACCATGCACTTCGCACGCAATGTTGTCATCAGTCCATGAAGGATAATTATACGAACATGTATAACACAAATAGCCCATAGTCCTCCATCCATTTGATATCGCTGGGATTTCTTCCCTGCCGTTACTGAAAGTATCCACCATCTGGCAACGTCAGCCATGCTATGCTGGCCAGCTCGAGCAGTGTGGCGGTGAAAGATTAGGCAGTAGCGACACCCGCAGATAGAATTGATAGAATTTGTGTGCTCGGGTGTTAAGGTTATAGCTACGGCAAGCCCTTCCTAGACGCCACACGCCACACAGTTTCAAGGGCAATTGTACGGGAAAAATCTATGATGTTAGATGTATGGTGTATCTGAAGTCACTTGAAATAGCATAAAAACCTTTGGTCGGCGCGTCCTTTGTAATTTCATGATGTATCATAGGCATGCGGCATTTATTTAGAACGATAATAATAATGTTTTTATATCACAATAAATGGATTTTACTATCTTCTTATTTTTTTGATTTGGGATAAAAAATACTTATATTGGGAGTTTAATTTATGTTGACTGAAAGTTAAGAAATGGAAAAATTACAGAACTCCAACGTTTGACATAGGCAAATATTTAAGTAGCAGGTAGGTATATAAAAAGGTATATAAAGACTTACATTATAGGTATTTATATATCATCTTCGCCTTCGGAGCTGTCGCTAGTCATCTTGTAGAGGAATTACAACGGGATTTACAGGAGGCAAAACACAATATTCATTTTCTTTTTCAATAATATGCCTAGAACACTGCTTCCATAGGTCAGTGGCAGCAATATGAGATACTGCATCTCTTATTGTGGCCAATAGCGATTCACTTAATTGAGGGGTCTGATTATGTTTTCGTACTTTTTTTTTTAAAGCAGCCCAGACCAACTCAATCGGGTTAAAAATGCAGTAATAGGGAGGTAGACGTAATACTTCATGGCCATTTTGCTGAAGCAGATTGTCAACAACATACTCTTTTTCAAATTTTTGTCTTTTAATAAGATCCAATAATATGGCTTTGGTTGATTTTTGTGGTATTTCCTTTCCCTTATCCTTCATAAAATCAATAATGTCTTGTTTTTTTGTGCCTGTATTCGGAATTTTGTTTTTCTGTCGGGAATGGTATGGCGCATTGTCCATAATAATCACTGAATTTGGGGAAATGTTTGGTATTAACTGCTGCTCTATCCACTTTTCAAATAAGTCGGAGGTCATGTCCTCGTGATAGTCGGCACACGATTCTTTGATATTTTTGGCAAATAACAGCAAGGCATTAGGTATAAATCCATTTTCACTGCCAGCATGGAGAATAATGATTCGTTTTCCACGGTTGCATGGTGCATTTAAAATTCACTTGTTGCTGTCGTCAACCCAGCCGTACTGCACAACATCATGGGTATCATACCACGTTTCATCCAGGTAAATCAGATTTCTTTTCTGCTCTCTATAGATTTTAACTTTGTGCAAAAATTCTTGGCGCAATTCAACTATTCGAGACGACTCCATAATCACCATTCTTTTATCTAATTTTTTGTATTGAAAACCACACAGTTTTACAATACAGTGCAGTGAGTCTAAGCATTTGTAATTATAAAAATCTTCAGGATAATCTTTTAATTTATCCAGTATCATTTCCAACGTGGGCACCAAATTTTCTTTATAAAATCCGTATATTATACGACGAATATCTTCCTGAAAACCCACGTCTATTCTTTTTAATTTTTGCCCTATGCGCTTTCTGTGGAAGGAATGGTTGACTACATCTCCCCTTTTTATAACCCGATAAATGGTAGACCGACTGATTTTTGTCAGGATACAAATTCTGTTTAAAATTTGATTTTGCGAGGAATCTGGATTTTCGTTTTTCAGACAATCATACATATTTAGGATTACTCTTTGGGTCTGTTCCTCTAAATCTTTATGAAAGAATTCTGCCTGCACAGGTTCATCAACCATCTCCTCGTGGCTTGGAGCATTTTCCCAAGGTCTCCAAAGAGCCATATTTAGGACACACAATAACAATCAACACAACAATTAAATCAACAAGTAAACTGAGTATTCAAAAGTCAAAAACACACAAACTAATAAAATCTATGAAAAAACACGGACAGACGAAAGAAAACACGTTTATTCACCGCTACACGGCACTGGCTAAACTGTTTCAATTTTCAGTAGCCACCTGCACTTGTTCCGAGCTCTGAAATACACGCTTTCTCATTGGCTATGTCCACGCATAGGCGTGCTTTACTCCACGTGGACCGGTGAAACTGCCTTTGATCTCTTATACGGGGGATATTTGCTGCGAAATTTGGCGATTTTTGCAGCAACAGAGCGTGTTAAATATAGATATATAAAACGCACCCGGTATTTCACAGTGTTTCAAGTGACTTCAGATAAAGTATACTAATATGTACGTAGAAAACGTCATCTAGAGGGGAATTATTAATGTGCATCTCAGTGTTACATTACAATATTGGATAGATTCAACATCAGTCTACTGCGATGGCTGTAAAAATTTAGAAGGCTTAGGTAAGACATTTGTTGTAGAAATCTATTATGTAATTGAAAAATTCCGGCTTTCTAATGCATTTATACCGCGGAGGCAGTAGCTATCGAAAAAGGTTTGAGGAGGTACCTTAGCAATAATTTAAAAAATGTTGCAAAGCTCACACATTCAAAGTCTTTTTTGAAAACTAAAATAGGTTCTGACAAAACTTACTTCAGAACACGTCGATTGCAAAATTCTTAGTCTCATTCGTGAGCTATTTTTAGCACACAAGACAGTGAAAAGGTTGACATGGTTGCAAAATCAGTCATTATTTCAGGAGCTAGAGAAAAACCACCATTGTACAGAGACTTGCTTAGTTCATATAAGACAAACGTAACTTCGAAGTAGAAAACTATCTGGATGGAAATCTGTCAACAAAGTAATAGCAACTACTATGTGCTACATAAAAGTCGTCCCACGAGTATACCGCACATTTTCAATTTAGCATCAACAAAAAACCGCTCTGCTTCATTAACCATGGAAAATAAGATTAAGAGAGACGCCCCTCTGCGAGGTAGATGGACAAGTCAACATTGATACGTTAATAGCATCTAAAAATAGAGAGCTATATAGTGCATTACTGGATTTTTGCAGAGAGACTGAATTATTTAATTAGATCTTGGTGGCAAACAACTTCCAACTCCTTAAAAAAATTTCGAAACTTATACAGCGTTGCACTTGACCTAATATAAGTAAATACCTATTGTTTCAGGCACTCCGCTACCTAAAAACCGAGTCAAGCAAATTGGAGGCAACATCACCATCGAGTCTTTGCGAAGATCCGATTTTGGCTTCTACCAGTGCGTCGCGAGCAACGAGGTAGCAACGATAGTCACAGCCACTCAACTTGTCGTTGAGGGTACTCAACCACATGCACCGTACAACTTGACGGCTACTGCTACTGAGTTTTCAGTGACCTTGAGCTGGTTGCCTGGGTATAGCGGAGGACCTGATTATAAACAGGTAAGTTTGAAATTTCTTCGAGTCGTCGTAGTTGGTTGTCATAGTGGTCCGCGAATCCTTAGCTCTTTTCTTAGTGTCAGTTTGTGAGTGCGTCAGGTCTGATAACCCAGAAACCTGACAATTTTAAGGAAAGGAGAGAAGGAAGGAACTCGCGACAAGCCCGCGTCATCTAAAGTAGGCCTTAGCCATAATCGTCAAAATGATGAATTGTTTTCAGGACTATACCATTTGGTACCGTGAAGCTGGTGTCTCAGAATGGTCTACGATTCCTGTAACTCCGTCTGGTAGTACGCAGGTTACGATCAACCGACTAGCACCAGGTACTACCTACGAGTTCCAGGTTGTAGGAAAGAACGCCTTGGGTGATGGAATGATGAGCAAAATTATCACTGTCAGGACTTTGGGTAAGCATTTATTGTTATTAATGCAATAGGGAATATATTTAAAAACAGGAAATGGAAAATTGCAAAAGCGACACATTCTCATTCATATTCAGAAGATTTCCTGTTGAATTTGAGCGCTGACGCATCTTCAAACGTTGATCAAAATTGGGACGACTTATTTGATTTAATGATAAGTGTAAAGTAGAGGAGTTGACATAAGAGCTGTAGCCTAACTAGATATTTTAAGAAATGCGTCGAAAAGCATTAAGGGCATTCAGGTAACTAAAGGTCGACACCCATTGAAGGAAAGGTAAGCGTTTTGTGTCGCGCGAAAACGTCTTTTAATAATGTTCGACAATGAAGGCAAAAAAAGACAGCACTCCCAATGAGCCTGCAACTCTATAATACATTGTAGAAAAACTAAACTTCTTGTATAAATTTCTTGTAATTGATTGAATTTCGGGTCCAGTTTTCTGTTACAAAGTTGTCGACCTTTCGGAATGATTTATTTCTTCCTTCAGGGCAAAGGTTTCTTGGTTTATCAGGGAAAAAGGAAATTATAGCGAACTCACCCTTTTAGTTTGAAACTGTGGTTGTCAAATAATCAACGTTATTCATATCCTGGATACTGTCATTTATACTGCAACTTATCAATATGACAATAAAAGTATACGAGGAGGATAGACACAGACTGATGGAAAGGTGAAAGGTATTTTTAAATAGTAAAAATCTGAGCATTTTTTCCTATACAGGGTGGCCAAACACGTGACGTCATAAAAAAAAAATTAGATTCCCCACATCGAGAGGAACCCAAATCACCCCCATATATATGGTCCGATTTTGTTTAGTTTAGGAGTTATGATTTTTTTTCGGATTTTTCGAGAATTTTTGAGTTCTGTGTTTATTTTTACCATAACTTCGTTAATAATTGTGATAAATGCCTGCTTTTTTCACGATTATGTAGCTAAGACCTTAGGCTTAACTATCATATAATCATTCAAGTCATGTAACTAATACTACTTTTTAATTTTTTTCAAAATCTTCGAACATAAAAAAGTAAAAAAGTGCAACAACTTTGAACGTTCATAAAAAATTGAAAAAACATGTTCTTACTATTCTTAAGTATCTTAAAAACTTCCTTACGGTATCAGCTATTTACCGTAAAAATTTCATCAACCTAGCTTTACTACATGCTACCGTAATTGTGGCTCAAATAGAACCGAACCTGCGAAGACAACGAGAGGATCCCGATTTTTTTGATAAAATTTTATGGACTGACGAGTCACGTTTTGAAAGAACAGGGATATTCAATATCCATAATTTACATACTTGGGCTGTTGAAAACCCCCACCAGTCAAGGCCGTCGACATTTCAACACCGTTTTAGTGTGAACATGTGGTCAGGAATATTCAATATGGAATTTATCGGTCCATTTGAACTGCCGTCAAGGTTGGATTCGGTAGCCTACAAAAGCTTCCTTGAAAATAGCCTACCATTATTGCTGGAAGATTCAAGCCTGGAAACCAGACGGAACATGGTGTTCCAGAATGATGGTGCACCATGCCACAACGCAACGATCGTGCGAAACTACTTAAACGAAAGGTTCCCAGACAGATGGATCGGACGAAACGGACCGATACGATGGCCTCCACGCTCCCCTGACCTCAACCCCATTGATTTTTTTGTTTGGGAATATTTTAAAGACATAACATTCGCCCAAGAATGTGCAAATGAAAATTCATTGAGGAACAAAATTCAAGAAGCGACACATGTGTTGAAAAACAACACACAAGCATTTAGAGATTTAAAACAAAATTTCATACGTAGGTGTACACTGTGCATTTCTGTTAGAGGCAGACATTTTGAAAACCTCTTGTAAATAACATAAATGAATAATAATCTGCTGTTCAGTAAAAATCAAACGTGTTTTTGTGGTTTTTGCAAATTTTTTTTTCGAAACTAACAATTTCTATTGAGCAGAGGGTTATCCAATTTTGGGTTCGGTTCTATTTGAGCCATAATTACGGTAGCATGTAGTAAAGCTAGGTTGATGAAATTTTTACGGTAAATAGCTGATACCATAAGGAAGTTTTTAAGATACTTACGAATAGTAAGAACATGTTTTTTCAATTTTTTATAAACGTTCAAAGTTGTTGCACTTTTTTACTTTTTTGTTATGTTCGAAGATTTTGAAAAAAATTAAAAAGTAGTATTAGTTACATGACTTGAATGATTATATGATAGTTAAGCCTTAGGTCTTAGCTACATAATCGTGAAAAAAGCAGGCATTTATCACAATTATTAACGAAGTTATGGTAAAAATAAACACAGAAATCAAAAATTCTCGAAAAATCCGAAAAAAAATCATAACTCCTAAACTAAACAAAATCGGACCATATATATGGGGGTGATTTGGGTTCCTCTCGATGTGGGGAATCTAATTTTTTTTTATGACGTCACGTGTTTGGCCACCCTGTATATCAGCCTATATGAGCATTATGTAGTCATTGCCATAGCCAACAAGTAGCCTAGTGAACACTTGTGTCTTAAATCTCGAGCTTTCGACAGACAATGCTCTCATCTTCAGAAGCAAAAAAAAAACAAATTTGAAAATAGCAACCAAGTTCGAGCAGCTTATTTTTGAGACTACTTGTTGAGATTATAAAAACAAAAAACTGGGTTTGTTGTTAAGTACGGAACACATAGCCATGCGTAACAAATATTTGTTTATAAACCCGAACGGATTAAAATGGGGAAAGATTAATCAAATTATTAATACCATAAACCCAGAAATGTTACGAAAATGACGTCATGAAAGAATGTGGCAGTTGTAAATTACTACCAACCTAAATTAACAGGTGCTGTACTTAAGAGGGGCGTTTGAAAAAATATTTTCGCAAGATGCCGAGATAGCATATATATATATATATATATGTATATATATATATAAATACTAAGTGACATATAAATCCGAACACCCAGTTTAAATGGTTTTATTTTAATAAAAGTTGGTGAATGTATTTATCTAACTGTAAATAACAAGTGAAAAAATGTTCAGCCTTATCAGTTGGGCATTCCGGTTTTTATACTGCTTTTTTTTAATTCACTAACGCTCTAAAAATGAATATTTCAGCCGCAGTAAAGAATCAACGTTGGCGGATTTTGGTTCTTGACATCCTTTACGATCGGTTACGATGCCTAGAGTACGGAGACCTGTACGATTTCGTCAACTTAGTGAGTTTGATAGGGGCCGTATAGTGGGACTTCGGGAAGCTGGACTTTCTTTTCAGGCATTTGCAGTTAGAGTGCAAAGAAGTGTAGACACTGTGGTTAGGTGTTGTCAGGCATGGCTTCGAGAAGGCCGTACGCAAAGAGCAAGGGGCACTGGACGCCGCCTAAGATTATTGGCCTTAAGGGACCGTTTCTCCACTACCAGGTCCATTGCATATGAATGGTTTGCAGAACACGGAAGACCTATTGGCATGCGAAGTGTTTACCGACGAATGAGAAGTTTTGGCTTGTTTTCATACCGGCCACACTGGGTCCTCCCTTTAACTCGAGACCACCGACGTAATCGCCTTGAGTAGTGCAGACAACGGTCACTCTGGGATCAGGAATGGAACAGTATTGTCTTTAGTGACGAGTCTCGATTTTGTTTAGGCATGCACGTTGGTCGTGCCAGGGTTAGAAGGCGACGTGGTGAAAGGAGGAATCCACAGTTTTTTGTTGAAAGACATGTTCATCACACTGTTGGAGTTATGGTTTGGAGTGCTATAGGTTCCAGGTCACCTTTAATCTTCATCAGAGGTAACATGAACGTGCAGCGTTATATCCACGAAGTTCTAGAACCCCATCTTTTACCCTATCTTGACACCGTGGCAGATCCAACTTTCCAACAAGATAATGCCCGACCACATGTTGCAAGAGTTACAATAGACTTCTTTCAACGTAATGATGTCACATTGTTACCATGGCCACCAAGATCTCCCGACTTATCCCCAATTGAGCACGTGTGGGATATGATGGGTAGGAGATTGCTCAATTTGCAACGTCCTCCTCAGACTCTAGAAGCACTTCGAGAGGAGTTGGTGGTTGCCTGGAATGAGATACCACAGGAGGACATTGATCACCTGATCAGAAGCATGCCTAGGCGCGTTGGAGAATAATAATCATTTACTTATTATGCTTCATTAAGTACTTATACAAAATTTTATTAAAATAAAACCATTTAAACTGGGTGTTCGGATTTATATGTCACTTAGTATATTTGATGTTTTGCCTTACCTTTCTCCTTCTCATCATTTTGTGTCTAGATATTTTGATCAGTTGAAGTATAAATGATAATATCTAAGATGTGCGTACGTTGAATTACTTCACCACCACAGTTTAACATGAATCTGTATTTACAAGAAATAATACACTACATCTTAGTAACCTTGGAGTAGCTTTGACAGTTCGCACCAATTTTCACTTGAATAAGCAATTCCACGGCTACTGTGGTACGGCGTAAAACCTCTGCAGTGCTGGACTGCTTCAAGTTACCTGAATGCACTTAATTGCATTTCTGTCACTTATCGATCTTTCCTACTAACATCACCAAACTTCTTCACTGCCTACTAGACGTTGGTCTTCCACATCAAATTAAGGTGACCCCAACTACCTTCTTTTTACCACCTAACGATGATATGGGTAAGAATTAAGACAAGCATGACGGTGGTGTGCCGTATTTGTTCTCACTGTCCATTGTATAAAGGTGTTGCATGTGTAGCTAGATACATTTTTATTTACCTACTGGTGTCTCTTCGGATAGTGTCAGAATAGTAAAATAGAGTCAAATAGCTGTTGTTTGTAGCAAATGTAGATACTTTAACGGAATGGATGTAACGAAAAATTGCAAAGTACTGATTTGTAACGAAAAAGCTTTTTTACTGTTCAAAGTCTAATTTGTTACTCTGACACTAATTTACAAGACTTGCAGCTAATTTATGATAAATTTCGACTGGGCTATATCGGTTCATGCGCTGTCGACGAATTCGAAGCCTTCCAGTTA